AAACTAGTATGGTTAGTCTCGTAATTGGGTGGGTTGCCGGATTTTGTGACTTCGGTCGGATTTCGAGATGTGGGCCCGGGGCCCGGCTTTTGAGTTGACTTTTTTGACTTTTGTTCTTAAGCATAGCATTTTCTTACGGGATTGGTTCCTTTAGCTCGTGTTGATTGTATCGAATTGTTGTGGCCAGATTCAGAGCATCTGAAGGCTAATTTGAGAAGCAAAGGCATCACGGAGTAGGATTTTGGCTTGGTTGAGGTAAGTAACACTTTCATACTTGGTTTTGAGGGTTCGAAACCTCGAACTATGTGCGATATGATGGTATTGAGGTGACGCACATGCCAAGTGACGGGCGTGCACCGTGAGGATTGCGGCCTGGTTCATTCCATGGCATCGCGTAGTAACTCTTTCTTGTTGATATTCGTGTTTCTATCATGTGATTAAGTAAATGTGCTATGAGTTATGCTAGACATCTTGTTAGGGCATTACGCCAATATTGTTGAGACCCGAGTGGTCGTTTCTTGCTGTCATCTCATTACATTCATTGATATTCCGTACTCAGTCTTGTTCATGCATATCATAGCATGTCTTAGTCTCAGTTATTATTATTTCGCACATCATATCATTGTTTCGGGCTAGTTTCATGGCATTGCGAGCCCGTTTGTGAGAGACTGGAGAGTGATGACTGAGTGAGGCTGAGAGCCTGATTATGAGTGACAGTTATGGGTCGGGCTGCACACCGCAGCAGATTATTGATACATGCCTTCGCTGGCTATGTTATGGCGCTTGGGACGTAGGAGCCCTTCCGGAGTCTGCACACCCACAGTGGGCGCGGCTGGTTATATTAAGGGATGGATCTTCTCTGGACATGGATCTTGTCCGAAGCACTTATATATAGAGATGGAACTTCTCCATGAGGCTGGATTGGCCTGTATCTCGGTACTGGAGATGGATGGTCTGTGATTCCAGGATGGATCTTCCCTTGGCCTTGTGAGCCATATATAGTACCGAGTGGTTGTGAGGTTATTACTATTATTATCAGGATATAGATCTTCTCCATAGGCTGGATTGGCCTTCCTCAGTACTGAGTGACTGTTGTCAGAGATATATATGTTACATGATGGATTTCCCTAGGCCGTATGAGCCATATACAATACTTAGTAGACGGCATTGAGATATTGGGCACATGAGGCGCTTGGCAAAGTGCATTTCATATAGTATGTGCATTTGGCATGTAGATGTAGCGGAGTTATACTCCTTTACCATGTTCATATCTGCTTATTTCCCTGTTATGAGCTGTTCAATTGACTGAAAGCATGCCTACGTTTCTGTACGATATTTCTGTTATCTTATGAAGAGGTTGAGTTCGTCACTACCTCTTAGTCCATAGTTTGGGCTTGTTACTTACTGAGTTGGTGTACTCACGTTACTCCCTGCACCTTGTGTGAATATTCAGGTATCTATGGTCCCAGTAGCAGCCGTTGATCGAGGTCGCAGGCTGTGGAGTTAATTGAGGTATCTGCATGGCATTCGTAGGCCTTGGCTCTCCTTCTCATTTCTAGTTGTATTTTTCTGTTGGTTCTTAGATACTTTAATAGACTATGTATTTACCTTAGATGCTCGTGATCTCCGTGACACCGTGGTTTTGGGATGATTGTATCGTAATATAAATCTTTCTTTTATGTCCTACATGATTTGTTTTAAAATGATAAAAATTTTCCGCAAATGATTTTTAATATTTACACTATGGTATTGGATTGCGTTGGTTTGAGGCTGGCCTAGTTCCATGATAGACGTCATCACGATGAGTTGAGTTATGGGTCGTGAAAGACTCAAACACTAAACCTCTAACCCAAATTACATACTAAGACCCTGGAGCATCTAATAGAGTAATAGAAGTTTAAGTTACGAGCATGCAAACCCGAAAGAAGTAATAGACATAAGATAGGTAGAGCTGAAACAAGGGCCTCCATGAATAATGCAGCGGCTCACCTCAGAAATAGGATCAACTCTACGAACTCATTAGCCACTCGCCTCGCCCTTATCAACAGTATCTGCATGGACATGCAGGTAAGGAGTGAGTTATATGTACATATAACCCAGTAAGATCCTGGACCCGCCACTCTGAATACCTCTGGAACAAGTGTTAGAGAGTAAAAACACACAAAGAATACATATATAATATGCACAGAAATTCTTTCACCATATAATTACTTTCTAAGGTCCAAACAATTATTCAACAACAACATTATAAATATCACAATATAATCTACACTAAGGACTTGTCATTAGCGGTAGTGTAGGAGATTAACCAAACACCCCAACGAGTCCACGACAGCATACACAATGCCCCAAATATATTTACGGCGGCATACACAATCCCCCAAATCTATCACGTCGGCATACACAATGCCCCGAATCTATCACGTCGGCATACACAATGCCCCAAACATATCACAGTGGCATACACAATGCCCCAAATATATTACGGCAGCGAAGAAATAATTTCTAACGCCCCAATGCCATAGCACGAGGCTATGCCACATCACACCACATCATAAATCACTTATTAAATAATTTTAGCTTTTTACAAAATAATATATATTGCGGCTAGCCAAAGACCATCGATTCTGCCAAACGCACGCTCGTCCCAACACATGGACCAGGCAGACAAAACATACTTTCAAAATGATTTTTCGAAAAGCAAGTACCAAAGCTTAAAGTCTCACTTACCTCGCTAACGAGAAGTTCCCCAACCTTACAACGTCTAGAACACAAACCAAACGACCTCCAATGACCTCAATCTATCCAAAATATTAATTAGCAACGTCAATTTCAGGCCTAATTTCAATCTTCTTAACTTTCAGGCATAGAGTTAAATCTTAATATTTTACACATTAATAAAATACATAGCCTAATATACATCAAGATCAATAGTCACTATCAGTTTCTCTTAACTAGTACTTCGCGTCCACCGATAATAACCACAAAATAAACGTCATAATATATAGCTATACATAAAGAATTAAAGTCTGAATCATAGCTTTCCACTTAAAGAGCAATTACGTTTCCAGAAGCAGTAGATACAAACCTTTAGAATTTTTAATCTTTTCTCTTATTCTACATGCAACTCGTCCATATCATTACTTTGCTTTCAATAATTAATTATTTTACTAGATACAATAAATTCAAAATTCATGCTAAACTAAATTTTCATACCTTAAAGTCTGGAACTATTGAAATTGTAAGACCATCACGTGATGCTCTATTGTGCCGTCACTATCCTTAGCCTCTTCTATCTATTTTTTTATTTTATTCCAGAACAAAGAAATAATTCGCCTTATTTATTAATTCGCTAGGTCACCTCACTTGGCCAATAAAAGAATACCGGGTCTGGCCCACTTCTAAACTTATATAAAATAACTAAGATTACTTATTTTAATTTCATACTTTGTAATATGACATAGACCCACTAGCTACTTATTTAATATATACTACACTATCCTACATATAATATTTTTGTTTTCATTAACTTAATACTTGGCGAAATAGCTACAACCTAAATTAATTCTATAGTTTGACAATTAATAAGTATATAAAAGAAAATTGTGTTATTACATTCCCCTCCACTAAGAAGAACATTTGCCCTCGAATGTTAAGCAAGCTATACCGTAGAAAATAGAGATATGAATACTTCATCGTTACGGACATCTTGTCTTTTCATATCACACTACATACGCCCCATGTAACTCTTTTGAAAACTTATTAACAACCACAACTATCCCAAGAGTCAGAACCTCTACTAGTGTTTAAACTCATAGTTAAATATGTTAGAACACTTTCTATTCATTTCATGTAAAACATTCATATAAGAAACTTTCTCGCACATCTGAATCGTGGATACCCTTTAATGTTTTTATAAGACCACGAGAAACAATAAATTTAGTATCTTTTACCTAACAATTGTGGATCACATAGCAGGATACCAATCGGTCTGTGCACCTAATCACATTAAAGTCAGACATCTACGATATACTAGTAGAGCTACTAGATGTCCCTTCCCTGAACAAATACCACAACTTTTCTATGTACTCTATCGACAAATATCGTCTCCCCACTAGGATCGTCGCCACGTATGGCACATTAAGAGATTCGATTCCCGTTCTAAATTTAAAGCTAAAGATAAGGACACATACGAATATCATATGGACAGTAATAATACCTGTGACTACCATATTAGAAGCATTAGCGTCCTCTCTGGTCATTGCATAGAATTTCGGTGGTCCACCCGCTTCATGAATACCTTGTGCACCTTGTCTATTATGTCCACGAGAACCTTGTGGAGCGACTCTAGTTGGTTGAGTCCAGGTCAGCGTAACTATAGAAGTTGTTTGTGGCTGTATAGTGGCCTGACTATTAACAAAATTATCATTTTGGGCAATATTTAGCGATATGTCCTTTTTCACCACAAGTAAAACAAGCACCAGCAATACCAAAGCAACGTCCATTGTGGTTCCTACCGTATGCATTACATCTCGGATACTGTCTAAATTAAAATGAACTGTTATCCTTCTCCTGCGTCTGGTTATGACCTTGCATTACTGAAAACGTACTGCCAGAAGACTGCACCACTGACTCTGACTGAGTAGGCATGAATTGCCCATGGCTAATACCATTCTTGCCCCCAGATGGAGCTCCACTAAACCCGCCTACGCTACGAGCCCTTTTACTTTCTCGCTCGGTCCTGTCCCTCTCTTGATAAGAGTCATAATGGAGAGCCTTATCCACTACCTCTTCGTACGAACCACCTCGAACATCCCTAACCAAAGGACCCCGATAACGATGCTCAAGCCCATCCACGAACCTCCTTACCTTCTCATGCTCATCTGCAACTAGAAAAGGTGCATAAATGGCTAAGTCCGTGAACTTAGCCTCATACTCCGTAACCGTCATACTGCCCTGGCGTAGTTGCTCGATCTAACGTCTCATGTCGTCTCGCTTGCTTAGTGGAATGAACCTATCCATAAACATAGCTGAAAACTCTGACCAAGTAATAGGTGGCAACCCTGCTCGTCTACCTCTCTGAACTGAATTCCACTGGCTGAACGACCTGCTGAGGGCATATAAGGAGCTGCAACATTTATTTGAACTTGTTTTTGCGCCTGCAAAGTAGCTTGGGGAGCTGGATGTCCACCCTGAGTAGGCACTAATGCCTCTAACACATTCAACAACCTTACTACTGCGTCTGCAGGTAGGGTAACAGTAGGCACAACATCTGGCACTGGTGGTGGAGTATCATCAACAACTTGTTCTTGCACTTGTTCTGGCATAGTAGCTTGGGGTTGACCCGTGTTTACAACTTCAGGCTGAGGGGCAGCCTGCCTTCTGCTCTGAGATCTAGTCTGATGAACCCCAACTCAACCACCAACTTGGATAGTACCACGTCTAGCAAATGAAGGGGTGCGTGTCCTAGCCATCTGCGAAAGAAATACTCCAAAATCAAACTCAAGTTGTCTCAACACACGATCAAGGTATGAAATAAGGAAAAATATCCTAAATGCTTAGTAGCCTCTAGATCAAAAGTATGGGCGCCAACATACCTATGAGCAAGACTCTACGAAGCTCTGATACCAATTTTGTCACGTCCCAAACTACCTCCTAGACGTGACTGGCACCCAACTAACACCACTCGCCAGACGAACCAATTTTTGTACCCTTAACCTTTTAAATAAGCTTGAGAGAAACACGTACAAGCCCAAACGTATTAAATATTACTAAATATGAAATAATTATTCGACTAAAATCATAATTTATTGATAAATCTAAAGAACACTCAAACACTAAATCTCTAACCCAAATTCCATACTAAGACCGTGGAGCATCTAATAGAGTAATAGAAGTTTAAGTTACGGGCATGCAAACGCGAAAGAAGTAATAGACATAAGATAGGTAGAGCTGAAACAACGACCTCCACGAATAATGCGGCAGCTCACCTAAGCAATAGGATCCACTCACCGAACTCGTTAGCCACTCGCCTCGCCCTCAGCAACAGTATCTGCATGGACATGCAGGTAAGGAGTGAGTTATACGTACATATAACCTAGTAAGATTCTCAAACCGCCACTCTGAATACCTCTGGAACAAGTGTTAGAAAGTAAAAACACACAAAGAACACAAAAATAATATGCACAGAAATTCTTTCACCATATAATTACTTTCTAAGGTCCAAACAATTATTCAACAACAACATTATAAATATCTCAATACAATCTACACTAAGGACTTGTCATTAGCGGCAGTGCAGGAGATTAACCAAACACCTCAACGAGTCCACGACAGCATACACAATGCCGCAAATATAGTATGGCGGCATACACAATGCCCCAAATATATCACGGCGGCATACACAATGCCCCATACATATCACGGCGGCATACACAATGCCCCAAATAAATTATACCGGCGAAGAAATAATTTCTAACGCCTCGACGCTATAGCACGAGACTACGCCACATCACACCACATCACAAATCACTTATTAAATAATTTTAGCTTTTTACAAAATAATGTATATTTGCGGCTGGTCAAAGACCACCGATCTACCAAGCGCATGCTCGTTCCAACACATGGACCAGGCAGACAAAACATACTTTCAAAATGAGTTTTAGAAAAGCAAGTACAAAAGCTTAAAGTCTCACTTACCTTGCTAATGAGAAGTTCCTCAACCTTACGACGTGTAGAACACAAACCAAACGGCCTCCAATGACCTCAATCTATCCAAAATGTTAATTAGCAATGTCATTTTCAGGCCTAATTTCAATCTCCTTAACTTTCAGACATAGAGTTAAATCTTAATATTTTACACCTTAATAAAATACACAGCCCAATATACCAATCTAGATCAATAGTCACTATTAGTTTCTCTTAAATAGTACCTCGCGTCCATTGGTAATAACCACAAAATAACCGTCATACTATAGATATCTATACATAAAGAATTAAAGCTGAATCATGGCTTTCCACTTAAAGAGCAATTACGTTTCCAGAAGCAGTAGATATAAACCTTTAGAATTTTTAATCTTTTCTCTAATTCTACATTCAACTCGTCCATATCATTACTTTGCTTTCAATAATTAATTATTGTACTAGATACAATAAATTCAAAATGCATGCTAAACTAAATTTTCATACCTTAAAGTCTGGAACTATTGAAATTGTAAGACCTTCACGTGATGCTCTATTGCGCCGTCACTATCCCTAACCTCTTCTATCTATCTTTTTTTGTTCCAGAACAAAGAAATAATTCGCCTTATTTATTAATTCTCTAGGTCACCTCACTTGGCCAATAAAAGAATACCGGGTCTGGCCCACTTCTAAACTTATAAATAATAACTAAGATTACTTATTTCAATTTCTTAATTTGTAATATGACATAGGCCCACTAGCTACTTATTTAATATACTATACACCTCAACAAACCTATTTATCAAGTAGACACCTCAAGTTATTTTTCAGTGTATCTCTTAAGCCCTTTAAAGTAACATGGCAAAATGTGTGTACTACACTCGCGTTGCAGCAAGTGAAGCCTTTCAAAATTGTGTTTATTTATTTATTTTTTAATTTAACTAGTGGAGTCCACTTTTTCTCACCCTTTCTTCTCCAAAATTCTCTTCCCTATTCACCATTCCTTTGAAATAACTACTTAACAGGAGACGCACAGTACCGACGAGGAAATCCTTGAGGACGCCAACAACGTAGATTTCAACGGAGACACCAAAGGTATCGCCGGAAAAGAATTTCGGCGAAACACAGAAGTGGAATTTGTCGTTCCAGGTAGGGTTTTCGCCGCCGAAATGATCGATCTTGGTACGGAGTTTATTGGATGAGTCAACCCAGAGTAGGGCGTAAGTTTGCATTCGACGGAAGTCAGTGATTGGGGTTTTGAGGGATTGAGCAGAGATCAAGTTGATCTCTAGAATTTGAGTATTTTCCTCTTCCATGTGAGTTTGTGTTGTTGTTTCTCTCAAATTCTGCTTCTTTTCTTTTTGGGCTAATAATACATATTGATGTGTGATTGTAAAATTGATTGGGCTTAACAAGAAATGAACGGACTTTTCTTGATCCAACGAGACAGAAGGGGACTCGTCGGAATCGGAAGATGAAGTTGGAGGGGAGAGGGGAGAGGAGGAGGGGGGGGGGGGGGTAGGAGAACGGGTTTTTTCTTCTTTAAATTCATTTTATTTTTTTGGTTAATTTGTGTTAAGTTTTAATTATAAATTACACGTGTCGTTCATTGATTGACTCATTTGGCAAGTGTAATTCACGGATCTGGTATGCTGCAGCGGGGTGTTTATTTGATTTACTTAACAGTCATTTGAAGTGTCTAGCTGGAAATGGTCTCAGTTGAGGTGTTCAAATGACCGTTGTGGACAACTTGGAGGGGCCATTTATGTATTTCGCCTTTGTAATATGACATAGGCCCACTAGTTACTTATTTAATATACTATACTATCCCACATATAATAATTTTTTTTCATTAACTTAATACTTGTGAAATTGAACTAAATTAATTCTATAGTTTTACAATTAATAAGTATATAAAAGAAAATTGGGTTATTGCACAATAAAGGCATGTTGAATGGTGTCCTCTCTAGGACTCTGACAGTACCTGTACCTAAAAACAATGTGATTACCAAATTTAACAATAATTTCATCAAAAGGAAGCTTACCGAGGTACAATCTCTAAGCTAGGAACGAGATTTTGAAGAGTATGTAATTAAGCCACATCTTGTTCAAGGCTTCATTCTTCTGCTTCTTGCTCTTGTTAAGCTGCCAAGCACTCTTGTTTGTGTAGTGGCCATTTGACTCAACATCCAAAATGGTATGTCTTCCTTGTTTGGATCTCCTAGAGCAATGTCACCGATTTGTAGAGCTGTGTGTCCATCAAGCGTATTAGTCAGTTTCATCATATCCCAGCCCTCCTCTTTCATGAATTCCCTATCAATGCTTACTTTTTATTCTATGAGGAAACAAGTCTGCTAAAGCACCATTAACTGAGCAGTTATTATACCAAAAGCTACAAGTGCCTTTGTTAACTTTCCAACATAGTTTACTCCCCAATTTGGTCCTTATTTGGGTCATATGTTTCCAGGAATGCGAATTACCTGATGTCGACTGTTTATCCACATTATGAGATCTAATGCAGTATTTAGATCAAAGAAAGAAATCAATAGTTCTAAATCTCCACCATCTTTTCATGGCAAGAGTGTTACTGATATCTTCTATGGACCTAACACCAACTCATCCCTCCTCCTAAGGGAAGCAAAGATTCTTCCAGGCGCTCCAATGGTACTTTCTCTTATCCCTCGAAGAACCCCAGAAAAAATTAGCAAAATATTTCTCAATCAATTTTAGAGTGCCCTTTGGAGGACTTATAGCAGATAGAGTATAGATAGGGAGGGAGTTGAAGGACACCTTTTACGAGGACCATATGCCCCCCACAAGTTAATAGCTTGCCTTGTCACCCATTCAGTCTCTTAGCAATTTTATCAGCCATGGGATCAAAATAGGGAAGTTTCTTTATTCCCACATATAAAGGGCATCCTATTGATTCTGCGAGCTCTTACTTTGGGATCAGTGTGGAAGAAACTTTTTTGTTTATTGACTTTTTTTTCCTGAAACTTTCTCATACATGCTAATCTGCTTCATAATCAATCTCATAGACTTATTATTTCCCCCATTGAAAATTACTATATCATCCGTGTAGGCAAGGTGATTGACTTGGGGACCCCTTTGGTTCATGTAAAAAGGGGTGAAATCAGGATTGGAGTGTAGCTCGTTGAGAGATCTAGATAGAACTTTTGCAGCAACGATGAACAAGGATGGAGACAAAGGGTTTCCTTGTTTCAGGACTTGTGAAGAAGTTAAAAAATCCCCTCCTGGTGCCATTGATCTCTCTGGAACACCATACATCTGATATCAATCTCCTTATAATATCAATCCATTGTTCTTCAAAACCAAACCTTCTCAGCACTGAGGCTAAGAATGACCAAGATAGTCTGTCGTAAGTCTTGGCAATTTCTAGCTTCATAATAGTGTTGCCCTGTCTGTTCTCCTTACCAATACCTTGTATTATTTCTTGTGCAAGCATGGCATTCTCAATTATGAGTCTACCCTCACAAACCGCTCTGATTGTTTGAGATCATCTTTGGATGAAAAATATTCAATCTGCCTGCCAGGATCTTAGAAATGATCTTGGTTGTGAAGTTAGTCAGACTTATGGGCCTTCGTTCAGAAAAGCATGTTGGCGACTCCACTTTTGGTATCATGACCCAAATCCATTATAGGCCGTGATGGCGCCCAACGCCGTTGTTAGGAAAGCCAACACTGATCAACTACTGAATTTCCATTTTAAATAAATTAGTAAGTGATAGCTTATCCTTATTTGATAAAAATTTAGGAGTTTGAAATTTTAACATAAATGTTTACCGTGAAAATGGTAGCAACAATTAAATTTATAAATGGGATTCTAATAATACGTGATCTATTCCCGAGCTAGTTTGTAAGGGTGATTAGTGCTAAAACATGGAGTAAAGCAGTAAAGATCGAGTTAACCAAAAATAATAATCGAACCAGTAAGGGGACGTTCCTGGGCTTAGAGTAAGCCAGTAGATACCTCGGGGCCAGGCCTCGAGCCTATCTCGGTCTTATCGAGGGTAGTCGGGAAGGGGATAACAGGTAAGTATATATATAAACAAGGCTTTATACCGTCAATCTTGAGCTAAATGATGAAGAACAAACGAAGAACAGTAAAATTCTAGAGCGACCTCGGGGTCGAAGAACACTGATAACTTAGAAGGAAAAGAGAAATATATTATTGCTTATTGGAGAAGTGGAGCAACATCCACCCTTTACAAGGAAAGGTGAGTCCCCTTTTTATTGGGAGGGGACTGTGTAAAATGCATATATATTAATTGCGAGAATACAAAGATGGGACGGCTTGACGCGAGTCCTCTCAGTAGGCTCCAGATAGGCTGAACCTGTCAGGTGTAGTCATATGCCTAGGAGACTTCCTCTTCTACCTGGGCCTGGTGTGGCACTTCATCCCTAGGGCTCTTTCTTTCCCAAGGGATAAAGTGGCACCGCCGGCTGTTGAGACGGGGGCCCGCCGAATCTTCAAGCTTTGGCTTTGGCTAGCCATGTCTCTTTTCTCTGCCTCCTCCGCATCCCCTTCTTTTCCTTCCCTGCGTCTTCCCCGACGGAGATCCCTTAGGGGATCGAGCTGGGAACCTATGGGAGGCGGAGGTCGAAGGAGTCACCCTTGAGGAGACGTGCTCGAGGGTGGGCGCCCGGGTATGCTGATACCGGAGACGAACTCTCGAGGGCGGATCGAGCGCCCGGGTTTCATCACATGTAGATCCTCTTGTTCCTCAGATTTAGGCGTAGACCTTCTCGTTCCTCAGATTTAGGCGTAGACCTTTGTACCTTGTATGTAATGACCCTCCGGGGCTTTGTAATCGAACGCTGCGACCCCTCGGGGGCTTTTGTACTTGAAAACTTTATAAATGAGAATGAACTATGTTGACCCCTGCTTTCGAATTTGCTCTATTTCCATATGCTTTCATGCCCTTCGAGGCCCTTCAAATGTATTCCTTTGTGTTGCTGGTTGCTGATATTGATTTTGGATGTGAGTGTTTGCTTTGATTTCTCGCCGATTGATATGGGCTTATTTCGGTCCCACCCTTGTCCTTCGGGACAACTCTGGGCCGACCTGATGGATTGGTGCTTGCAAGAGTTTCCCGAGTTGCTCGGAGATTGCGCGTTGAGTTCTGAGCATCCGGGGGTACTGCCCCGGACGTAGGTCGTCTTCGGGTACCCTAGAGACTTAATTAATCCGGACGTGGATGGTCTTTTCGGGCTGCGCGAGATAGACATTTGCTTCCCCTTTGACGCTTGCTCGCTTTTTACACCCATCGGGACTTTTGAATGCCTTCTTTTGTTCATAGGCCGTTGTTGCTTGACGTGATAGCTTGTTCTGGTTTCCAGCTGACTAGCAAGGCTCTTCCCCTCTTTCTTTTTTGTCGCACTTTGGACTGAGGGAGGACCGGTCGGATAAGCTTGAGTAGTTGGGGCCTGCAGGATCGTTTGGGGATTTTGTATCAAATTCTGGGGCCTTCGGGAACGATACCCCGGATGAGGGTCATCCCTGGGTGCCTCAGTGGGCCCTGTTGATTTCGATGTGGATAACTCTTTCAAAGAGTGTAAGGTTGGCTTCCGTTCGAGGAGTTTGCCTATGTTCGGGGCGCTTCTTTGGGGCCTCGTAGAGCTTTGGAGATCGTAGCTTCTCGGGTTTACTCCTTCAGGGAGGGAATTGCGATCTCGGGCGCACGCTTCGCGCCTGGCGTCGGCGCTCTGGAGCTCATCGCGACCCTACTTCTTGGTGGACGGAGGCTCCAAATGTGAAACACTACCTGGAACATGGAGATGATTTGCGTGGATCCTTGAGCTTGGTCGTCTGTTGGAGGATGTTTCCTGGGTCGGGTATCGACCCGTCGACCCGTATCGAGGTTGTTGGCTTCCTGGAGCTTACATCTGGTAGGTGACTTCGCCACTGCCTTTTGTATATAAGAGGGGTGGCTTCGGCCTTTTTATGAGACTTCTCTATTTTTGGGCAGCTGTTCTTCCGTTTCGGCATAGGGCTCCCTATCTTCTAATGTGCGAAAAGCATTTGTGCTTCTTTGCTTTATTTTGTTAGTTCTGCTTCAGTTATGGCGACCACTTCGGAACCGTTAAGGCAAAGGGCGGGGAATGCCGTTACCGGTGTTGGAGAGTCGAAGGGCTTCACTCTGGAGACGGCGTCCTTGATGAGAGAGGAATAACTGGAGATGGCAAAGCGATATTGTGGGTAGAGCGAGGGGATCACACTGTGGGTGCTTTCCCCTCGTGAAGGCATCGCAGATTCTGCTGATGGGTTCTTGAGCGTGTACCTATACCCTTTTGC